AAAAAAAAAAAAAAAAAAAAAAAAAAAAAAAAAAAAGGAGACCTGAAATTTGTTGTCAAACCCAAAAATGACCATTGAGGTGGTAGTGGTACCAAAAATGTGTGTGTGAGAAAAGGACAGACCTGAAATCTCAAGGTGTCTCACTCCACCACCTACAAGATGTTCTTTGGGTCATGAATCTGCTGCTAGAACATCGGAAGGTACAGCCGTACACAACGCTGAAGCTACTTGCACCTCACCACACTCCTCACGAATCGGCGCTGCTGAGCTCGCAGAGCGTTTACTTTGTTCTTTTTTGCAGCTAAAAACTCCATTTTTTTGGTCTTCTTCTTTCTTGTTGTTCTGAAAGGGCAACGGCGTTCAGGTATCATCAGTCCACCCGACCAACGGGCTTATCTCAGCTGCTATACCCATGAGCTATAGAAATGCAGACAAGCGTTCAAAGCTAGAAACTGGACGAATGATTGTCCGCCCTGCTGGGCTGCTGGGATGGCATGGTGTTTTTTTCTTTTGTGTGTTTTTTGGGTTGTAAAAAGGCTAATTATTTTAAGCCCAACCAATTCAATTACCTGTCGAATCTGGACAGGACGGCCTTTCAGGCGTTTTCTTATTTTGTCATTCTAGTATTGCAGGGAACCCCGTAGCAGCCACATCCGTGCTCAAGCCTCCAACGAGGGAACACGTGGGAGCTGCACCCACCAGCAGGTGGGATACCTGCTACAGCAGGTGGGTGATACCGGCCAGGGGTCAGCCAGTAGGATCACGACCGAGCTTCTTCAATGGGCCAGTCACTGTGCCTCCCCTCCGGTCCCCTCCCCCTATGAGCACCAGCAGTCTCTGCTCAATGCCACTCGGGGGGACCGACGGCATATATCTTGGTGGTGGGCCCCAAGCTTGCCCAGGAAGGTACATGAGGCCAGTGGGGATTGAACCCAAGACCTCCTGAATGCCACTTGCGTGCCTTACCAACTGAGCTCGGCTGCTGGATTTTTGTTTTTTCTTTCAATTTCCTTTGTTTTTTTTTCTTCCAATGTCTCTACACATTTTTCCTCATCTATCTCATCCTCTCGCTACTCTATGTATATTAGTGTAATAAGGGGAACACCAACCAGCCTTGCTCGTCGTGCGAGTTTGCCCTCATTGAGGGCACTTCAGCAGCACGTAGAACACGGGGAGCAGGACAGTCGGACTCTCAAAAAAAGAACAAAAAAAAAAAAGCCTTTGGCCGTGATTGCAGTTGGATACACTTTTTCGAGTACTCGCACACGAGGAGCAGGACTGTCAGACTCTCAAAAAAAGAACAAAAAGAAAATAAGTAGTAACTGGATCCGTACATCTGGGCCTTAGTCCTCCTTCGTGCACGCACAAATTCGAACCGGCGACCTCGGCCTCAAGAGCCAAGTCTCGTAACCACTACAGCCAAGACACGGTGTTCAAAAGTGGAACCATACCGGTCGTGATATCCACCCCACCCCTGCAAGGCTGTAGTGTTCAACTCAACACACACCACACTCAACTCCACAGGGCAATTCACACGCACTTCGCTCCAATCGGCACGCACCCCTCACTGGTACTTAGCCCGTTCACTCATGCAGGCTTACTTTAACTGCCCGCTGGTTGACGGGAGCATTCCACAGTAGTAACTGGATCGGTACATCTGGGCCTCAGTTCTCCTTCGTGCACGCACGTGCACGCACGAATTTGAACCGGCGACCCCGGCCTCGAGAGCCAAGTCTCGTAACCACTACAGCCAAGACACGGTGTTCAAAAGTGGAACCATACCGGTCGTGATATCCACCCCACCCCTGCAAGGCTGTTGTGTCCAACTCAACACACACCACACTCAACTCCACACGGCAATTCACACGCACTTCGCTCCAATCAGCACGCACCCCCCACTGGCCAACAACGCTTTGGCCGTGAAAGTGGTTGGATGCATTTCAACGTCGCTAGTGTGAGTATGCCCTCAGCGAGGGCATTTTGAGCAAAAGGAAAATGCGCTGCCTTGCTGGCAGGGCCAGGAAGAAAAAAAACGAAACGAGAAAAAATGGAAAAACAGCAACGTTTGCATCTCCCCGTAATAGTGGTCAGATGCATTCAGGAAAGTGATCATTTGCAAATGGCCTCCATGAGGCCCTTTCACGACATCATTGCTCTCTGGCATGTTTGTTCCTTTCTTTTCTTTTTTTGGTTTTTTTTTTTCGGTTCAGGCAGACCGTCGGCACCAGTGCCACTTCCGAATTTCCCACTGCAGGTACCCTCACGCAGAAGGCTCGGAAAATAGTGGCGCGCAGTGGGCAGGTAGGTTCGGAATCTTAGGTGCGGGTGTACTGGTGGTTTAAACCACCACTACCTTTCCCATATATTGGCCGCGGGCCCCTCACCGCGACTTTCAGAGTCCGGAAACGCAACAAAGGCCGACGATGAAATTGATCAACGGCGGCCCAGAAAGTTGCAGCGGTTAACGAGCCACATATTTGTTTTTCAAGAGGGGAAAGGTACTGGTGGTTCAACTTCGTCCTTGCCATTCGCGCACACACAGTAACCTGGATTATGCACAAAAGTATCCAACATCACCTCCTGATAAAGTCGAGGACAGATTACGGAGGTTTCACCCGGGTTTCTGTCTAGAGGGGTTAAAACTAGACCCTCGAGTCCTGTTCACGTGGTCATAATGACTGCTTGCAGGTCCAGGACCATGCTACCCTGCTCAGTTGCTGCGGTCATGCAGCTATGCACTTCACCGCTTGGATAATATTATTGAAATCTCTGAGTCTCCCCAATTCACCAGCACACGGAAGGCCCCTTCAATACCTTGACGGAGCAAGGTCAATTGATCCGGATGTCTTGCTTCCGGGGATGTTCTTCGCATTACAGATGAACGGGTGTAGACAAAAATGCATGCGGCCGTCTATCCAAGGATAGGGATAGCCTGCACAAGTGCAAACTGACACATCGGCACGCGCGAACTTTGTGTAATAAGTTGGCTACGGAGGGTTTCTTAACCCACAGCGTACGGACTTTGCTACATGCTCAATTCCATATGCATGCAGGAAGTTGGCTACGGAGGCGTTTTTAACCCACAGCGTACGGACTTTGCTACGTGCTCTATTCCACATGCATGCAGGAAGATTCAGCTCCCCGATCTTGTCGTTGATGACCTTACGCACCTCTGCTACCTTAATCTGATCATCAAACCTCAGCCTTATAGTCAGACTCAGCCCCATCAGCCAAAAATCACAGAACTCTTTGATCACATGTGAAATGATATGCCGGAGGTGAGCTCTCGTTGACTTCTGCTGAAAATCCTCCGCCGTTTTGTACTTCCAAAACAGGGCGTCCATATCCTCCCCCTTCAACACTTCGATCCGTCTGGGATTCTTCAGTGTAGAAATCAAACTGCTTGTCTTGTGTGATCTTCGAATGTCAATCCTCTGCGTGTCTTGTGTATTGAAAGTCCGCACGATTGTCTTGTGTATCGAAAGTCAAGCTGGCCTCCTTGCTTAATCCTCCGCTGACATTTCGCAAAAGTGGTCGTCCTCCCACCATCGATGACTATCGATCTCTCGAATGCGTTCTTAAGACTCTTCCAACTATCTAGCAAGCAGCTACCACTGTAAGCTGTGTGCTCGGAACGACCTCTCGCCGCTCTTCTCAAGACTGTGTGCTCGGAACGACCTCTCGCCGCTCTTCTCAAGCTCTTGTCGAACCTGGAAAATATTGATAGACCAATCCTTCTGATCTTTAACTCGGATCCGCACCAGGTCCACTTTCTGTCTTCCACTCTGTTAGACGTACCTGCTCGTGCACAACAACACTCAGATTCCCCACTCCGCCTCTTCTTCTTCTTCTTACCTGTCCCCCTCTTCTTCCAATTGGTGTTTAGGAACGAAGACTAGCATTCAATTTGGAGATACAGTTGTTCCACTTGCTAAAGCTCGCTTACGTCATAAGAATCGATAGGAAAAAGTACGTATGACTCAGGATCGAAAACCCGCCACCACCTATAAAGGTGTGTGAGTTTATCATTGTGTGCGCTAGCAAATACATGTTCGCACCACTGCACGTTCGCTACTCGACTCATCTGACCCAAGTATTGTGCTTCGCATCATGGTGATGTAAGCACATACACTAGATTATCTTGATTCAGAAAATCTCTAGTGTACTTCCCAAAAAGCACATACACTAGAATCCAAGTTTCTGTGCATTTAACAAGCCATCTACCCTGTCTTGTTACGCCTAACAGGACAACGAATGACCGATAAAGCAATCTGACTGTGCTATCGAATTTCGAAATCTTATGTTAATTTGGAGAATTTTGGACCAACCAGTTACAAAATGACCAAACTCTCACCCCTTGCCAAGGTATTCATTCATCATCCTCGGCGTCTTCAGATTCTTCAATAGTAGTTCCTAGTCTATACTTCCTCATCATACTCCATGGCATCCTCGATCCCTTTCGTGTCTTAAGTCTCCTTTCAACCCCACTTCTCGTTGATGTTAATCACGGCCTTCACCGTATTCTCATACTGCACTACTTTTTCCCTGCAGATCCACTTAAGATCGTCAGCGTGATGCTCGGCAAGCTCACGCATGTGATCACCCACGTACTTCGCTCGTACGCCTGAGCTCGGTTTCGCTGGAATCTTCATTCTCCGCGTACCCATCCTAGGTGTGAATCTAGGAGGTGTCTTCTTCTTCTGCTTCTTCTTCTTCTTCTTCTTCTTCTTCTTCTTCTTCTTCTTCTTCTTCTCCAAGTTCACTGTGTTCTTGGTCACACTAGCCTGCAGTCTTGTAGACAGCTTCACGGGACGTATGTTCCCTTTCCTAGTTTGCTTCGGTGGCGTAGTAACCAAAGGGCTATCGCCAACAGCCTTATCTGGACTTCTTTTTGTCGTCTCGGTAATGACAAGCTTCCCTGTCCTCTGACTGTTTTCTTCCATATCACTGTCCTCCCATTCGCTGGAACACGATGCGCCCGATTCGACGGCAAGGTGACCTTCTGCTTTCCTTTGGCCGTCGCCTTGATGTCCATGCAGGTCTCCGGGGTAGGTTAATGCTGGCAGCCAGCATTAACAGCCATATCTGCACCTTTGCGCCAAAGACAAAAAGATGATGTATCTAAGGGACGCTGGACCCGGTTTCCAGCAGGTGTCGCTCCCCACCAATAGATGGAGCAGCCCAATAGAGAAAACCTCGATCCCGGTGGCTCTCCTACCGCCACCAGGATAGAGGTTTTGCAGAAGGGCTTTTATTGAAGAAAAAAAAAAAGAAAAAAAGACGCCCATGCACCCAAGACCTCCTGAATGCCACTTGCGTGCCTTACCAACTGAGCTAGGGCGCTGGATAGAAAAAAAAAAAAGAAAAAAAGACGTCCATGCACCCAAGTCCTGGGCATGCTTGGCCTGGCCACTCAGATGATGCTCGGTCCCTCTGCTACCGGCTGTCCCCTGGCCAGTGTCCCCCATTGGGGGTTCCCCGAAGGAAACAAGGCCACCCGGTGTCACATTAGACACAAGATTGAATTTACCTGGGCTGGATAGTCCGATGATAATACCTCAAGGCCATCGCCCTTTAAAAAAATAATAAATAAATAAATAAATAATTTAAAATTTAAATAAATAAATAAAAATTCCTGCAGTCCTCCCACTCACATCGACACTTGCAGTTTCTACGCAGTTTTCAGTTCAAACTTTTCTTCCTCAGCTTTCTGCTTCTTCGCCTGTTTTCGTTTACCGCGCTCAGCTCATGCAACCTTCTCTGCTTCTCCTCCTCCTGGTTCTCCTGTTCGATATACTGGCAAACGTAAGGCTGCGGAGTTGCTGAGGTCATCTAGTTTTTTGACTGCAGAGCTACTTGGTGAAGAAGACACTGTCCCCACATCTTTTTTTTTTTTTTTGACACTGTCCCCACATCTAAGAATAGAGAACTAAAGATCAGGTCTGTTGTCCAACGCTGTAACCGAACTTGATTAGACGCTCACTCAAGCCCAGCAACTTGGCAGCAAGTCGATCCCGGGCAGGTTCACATGCGCCTTCCATAGGTTCAGACGGCAAAGATGTGGTGTGAGCACTTTAGTAGCGAACGCTCAAAGAGTGCAGATAAACCTTAGTCCATCGTGCTCATAGTACACTTACAAAAACAAGTGCACGACAAGAGTGACGATTGAGCGCCGGTGGGTATTGGGCAACCCCGACCGGTTTCGACCGGTGCACGCAGTCCTCCTCAGGGGGGGCATTCATTCACCGTAACGATCTCCACTCGACTAGGCCGTCTTCCTGCTCAACCTGCCTCCATCACTGACAACTCCAACCATCTCTGGAACTGGCGGAGCCCGTTGACGTCGGACCCAGAAAGGCCTACGACTACAGCAATCATTACTCATATAGTCCCGGCTAATGCCCAAATCAACCGGTGTCCCAGTCCCAAATCGTTGTCCGGGCTCTGGTACTGGGTTACTAGTCTCAAGTAAAGTACCTGCATCGGTCCAAAAACCTTTGACGCTTCATACGGACAAAACTGGTTCCGAACCCCTGACCCGTACTGAGTCCCTGGTTCAAAACCTAACAGTCGCACGCCAAACGTCACCCGTCATCGTGCAAAAGACGGAGCAAAAACTACCAGCCACCTCATCCTCGCCCGAAAAGCAAACGATCCTATCCTTACGTACAAGTTCCATTACGACCAGGATAGCATGATGGGATTGATTCTAATTAATTCTAATTAATTCTAATTAATTCTAATTAATTCTAACACACGGGATCTAAAAAGCTTCAAAAGATACCTCAAGTGATCAGTACAGCTCGAGTACAGACCAGACCACACCAAACCAGAACAACTTCGGCTGTGTGATCTCCACAAATCTAATAAAACACTTACATCTGAGAATTCCACACATGCTACATGCTTCTGGGAGAGACACGCAAAACCACACAAAGCTAATTTAGCTAAACCACCTTTGGCGTGTACGCAAAAAAGATGAATCAAGTTAAAGTTGTCAAACAAAACAGAACCAGTCGCCAACATAGCTCGTCTACATGTTCCAGTAGCTCGGGAGGTGTCTCGGACTTCAACTGAGAAAGCCACACCTGAATGTTTTCGCAAATCTCATCCCGATCCTTCACAAAGCGCTTCAGAAGCTATGTTGGCGGGATGAGATTTTCTGAATCTCATCCGGACTTTTGAATCTCATCCGGACTTCAGAACTCACTCGAAGAACTCGTCAGAAAAGTCTTTCAATCTCAGTTCCCAACCCAAAGTCAGTTCCCGAGTCAAAAAACTGGAAAGGAATCTGAACTGCCAAAAAAAAAAAAGAAAAAAAAAAGGGGCAATCCATATGCCTATAGCTCGCAAGAGTCACAAGTTCACAACCATGAGAAGTCCTGCTCTTAAAAAAAAAAAAAAAAAAAAAAAAAAAAAAAAAAAAAAAAAA